GGCTCCTCAGCCGGCGCCTGCCCCTCTCCTCCTCAGGCCCCGCAGCGCTCCGGGCCGGTGCGCTCCACCTTGTCCGCGCTGGCATCGTACCAAGCCCATGCGGTTTTTCCAGTTCATGGATGAACTCCGAGCCTCTGGGGCTCTGGGGCTGGAGCAGGACCGATCGGTCCTTCGGCGGGACCGGCTGTCCCGGGAATACGCAGAATCGGTGTCAGCCCGAGTCCCCGGGCGGCCGGGCCAGCAGCCTGCTCTGGGCCCGGTCTCGGCCCTGGCCCCACCATCAGGTTGTCACGGGTTGTCTTTGTCAAAAAAACTGCATTTCACCAAAACCCTCCAAAGTGGCAGATTTTCCAGCAGTATTACAGACACCAACTAATCAGTTTAAGCCTCCCTTTTCTATGAAAGCACAGTCAATTCATGGGAAAACAAATGGGAGTTTTCCCTTAATCTCCACTGAGCACTAAAGCCATGAAATGAGTTTAAACAAAAGTCACTTAGCTTTAAAAACTTTAGATCTGCTTTTGTAATTCTTTTTATTTTTTGATCATGAAAAACTTACAGTCCCTTGTTTAATTTTCAGGATTCCACCTGTCAGAATGACATTGTAATCTGAAAGCAAGAGCCTGCACGAGCAGCGCCAGGGCGTGGAAGATGCCAAACAGCAACTGTCTGCTGCGGATGTTGGCAAGTGGAAATGCAGTCGCTCACCATCTGCTGACTTCTGCTGAGCACATCATCGGGTATGAATTTTAGATCACACAGCTGTCAAACTCGTGTTTCTTCAAGAAACATGGAGTAGTTTCTATTGTAAGTTGTAATGGGAGGTTATAGCTTATTAGAATGAAACTAGGGATAATTTATCGTCGGCAGAAAAATGCAGGACTGAAAGAGACCCACTGGAATTTCATCATGATTTTTTTTCTTTTTTACTACATCATTCATGTCGCATTGTAAAATCAGTTAGATCTTTTGCACCGTTATTCCTTTTAAAAAAAAGCAATATGTCACTGTCTAGCCGGAATTATGAATGACTTTCATATCTGTTTTCTCTTGTGTTAACATCTCTTCCCCTTTGAGTTCCTCTTGCCTGATGAAAATACTACACACAGTTCTGGGTGAGGTCCTCTTTTAGTGTCGAGACTAGAAACAAAAATGTTAGTCAGAATCAGTCCCACGCTTGATCCTCAAGGGAGTTCACTGATCACCTGTGGTCAGCTCTGCAGAACCCCTCTGAACACTGATATTTGTTAATTTGATTTATTCGGTTCCTCACCCCCTCCCCATGTCCATCACTTATAGCATTTGTAAAAATGTCCGCTTTAACAGAAGAAATTTTTTTTCCGTTGCCCTGCACCAAATCTTCTACTGAATTTCAGAGGGATCAGAGATATTGCATCTCCCTTTTCCAGGGAGTCATTTACCCTGTCAAACAGAGATACTGGCTTGGCACAAGCTACCAGGATAAACCGAAGTCATATTTGTCACATTTTCAAAATATTCCCCATACACACAAAGATCAGGACCCTTCTGAAGTGCAGCCAGGGTCTGTTCTTTTGAAATCAGGCCAGTAGATGGAGCAGTGGCTGCTAAATGTGAAATACAGAAGGACCCCAACAGAAAAAGAGGGAATCGAAGAGAAAAACAAGAATCCCTCTGCCTGTCGGGGGTCCTGCTGTGGCTAACCCCACCGCCGGCTGGCAGTGTCATGCTCTTCCTAGCATGGGGTGACAACAGGCACAACCAGTAGAAGTAACCTGACGGTCTGGTGACATTAGCCTGAGAGGTGGGAGAGGTGAGATGGAGCCCGGTCCTTCTAAGGTAAGCTTTAAAGCTTACCCCTGGCTCTTCTAGGATCAACACACTGTACAAATATGACAAGTCATTCCTGTAATAACTTTTTTTTTTACAAATTCTGTGGCCAAAAAAAAAGTGAAACTGGTTGACATTTTCATCACAAAATATCTGGGAGATTTCAAAGTACTGTGTCAAGCCAAATGAATAGCTTGCATTTTGATTAATACCAGCATTTTAGAAAACCTCCTGAGCCCTCATAAAATTCAGTTGTTGTAATCAAGGTGCAACATGCCCGTATTTCTCTTTTATTTCATTCTAATCACCAGTAATGTCAGTGCTTCCTGTAACGGTAGTTTTCCGTTGAGCAACAGCCTGAATGAGGTGGTTGGTTTACTTTAAATTTTTTTGTAACAAGCTGTTATCAGCATGGGGGCTGATCCAGTTTGGTCTGGTTTACAGTTGATCCATGGACTCTGAAACAACTTTCATTTCTTAAATGTTTCTTCCACTCTTTCAGGCAGCAGGACCCTCCCCAGTCCTCGAAGACCGATACTGGGTGCGTGCAACAAATATAGCACAGCGCAGGTATCTAAGGAAAAGGATATCAAAGTTCAAAATGCTGCTGGGGGCAAACTGCACTTTTGATTAATTGGAGTTGAAGTATCACTTTGCGCTCCTTTTCTGTTCTTAATGCTCCTCAGGGCAAGCAACCTGTCTTGACACTGTGCCCTCTGCATCCAGTGCTCCAGCTTTGTAAGGTGACTGTCTCTTTGCTAATCAGCAGTTCTAGGTCTGTGTTCGTTAAAGGACTCCTTCCTCAAGAGGGATATAATTTCTGTCTTAATATCTCCAGCCAACAACCATTCCCTAGCTTTCTATAGGTCAAAAGTTACGTGGGAACGCAGCAAGGGTGCCAGGGCAGTGCAGAGCTGCCCAGGACGACCACGGGGAACCAGGCAGCAGCAGTTCACAGCACTGTGCCGCCCAGGTTTGCCAGAATGTCTCTAGTTTGACTCTCCCGAAGTTTCTGTCTAGGCTTCCCTGTATTCATACCATTCTTTCCCAGACAGTCGCTTTTGTCTGTAGAGCTCCCTGCCTCTGAAGAACCAGCAAATGCATACACTCTTGGGTATGTATGAAGTAGAATCACAGAATCATAGAATCATAGAATCGTTAAGGTTGGAAAAGACCCTTAAGATCATCGAGT